TCTGAGATCGGCTCGATTTGAGAAAGGGGTAAAGATTTTAGTAGATTAACAAAAAACCACTGGGTGGATTTTTATCATTTTAGGGTGGTTGTGTACACACACTGCCAACACACATTTAAGTTCAAACAACTTGTAAAAGTGCATGTAGCATCCTATGACCCCTTTAAAGAATGAAAGCGCTTGTACTTGATCAATAAGCCTCAACATGGATAAAACTCTCACACACAGATCCCGGACCATCAGGTCATCCTTATTGCTGAGCCCTGTACACATTTCAGTCTAATGTAAGGTAAACAGCTTTGACAAGCACTCTGAATCCAGCAGGACACAACACAGATGCTGCTGCAACTGCACCAAAGAAACAGGAGCAGCACAGGACACTCTCTGGGTGGTTGCATCACCCAGTTTGAATCTCTGAATTATGACTGTAATTACATGAGTTTCACAGAGTTATTTTGACTCTAATCCAGATGTGGATTATACTGCTGCTTGAAAATGCAGGAATTAAGCTCTCCTGAACATTATGTCCAGTCGAGGTCGTGCTGAGGTTATCAAAGCAAGGTCACTATCTAGGCCACTTAAGTAGGCTACAGTGTAAATTAGAACACATGATTGCTATTTACTGATAATACACGGGGTTTGGTCTTACTTCTCTGGTTTAAGATCACGGTAGATGATGCCCAGACTATGAAGATGATCCAAAGCCAAGGCCAGCTCAGCCAAATAGAACTTCACATCTTCCTCGGTAAACATTACCTAGAAAGAAAGAAAAAAAAATCACAAATAACTAATTTTTAATTTAGTCAATGCTTTTACAGAAATCCAATTCCTTTAGGATTAGGGATTTGAACAAGGCCCTAACCAGAACATTTAATCATGTAACTCGTCCCACACAATTTGTGCTATGGACATAAATCATACCTCAAATCATGCGGCTTATTGAGGGGAGGTGTATTATTACTTTTCTTAGAAATTAGGCTTATGGTTTTGAAGGAGGGATCCAAGCCTCCACATAACTGCTTAAACGTCTAATTTTTTCATTTAGATAATACTTTTACCTAAAACTTAATAGAAAACCAGCCCTCTTGGGTTTTACCAATGAGTCATTGAGTAAACCATTCAATTTTTCAATTGCTCTGAGTTGTAAATCAATGTCTATAGAGCAAGACTCTGTACCTGCAGTTCATAACATCAAATGGGAAACATATTTACGGTAATGCACTTACAATAGAAGGTGGTTGTAAATAACCCAGCTTATACCTTTAATGCAGAACCTGGCCAGTGACAGATCTTCAATAAAACTGCAGTAACAGTGTGCTCTTATATTTAGAAGACCAAAAACTGCTCTTTTCACAGCTAATTTTAATAACTGGGATATTTAATTAGACTGTGTAAAGAGCATCAGGGGACAGACAGTGCCATATTGAGGAGAGTAGATTGGCGTAACAAGTTCTAGTCAGGAGAGCAGCAGCTGTTGCAGAAAGATTGGAGCACCAGCGGTAATTAATTTATGTCTCACTTCCCAGGCACGGTTCTGCGCGGAGAATCATGATTAAATCAAGTGCAAGAATCTCTCGGTAAAAGTGCTCCAGTTTCTTTTTTAATTCACACTTTACAGAGAGACTGATTAGTCACAAGAAATAAAAGTGCAGGAGTTGCTCTTTATGTAAAATGCAACCGTAGTTGGTCTATACAAGTTTTTGCCCAACGAAATGATCTCTATAGAGTGAGAAGAGAATGTCAATCACCCCAAAACCATTTGCCTATATAGCACTAGCAAACAGCAAAACAGCTTATGACTATAAGGTAAACTAAAGGCTATTCGCTTAAAAAAACGTTTCCCATTCATTTTCCCACATGGATAAAAAAACAAAAACAAAGCAAAACAAAAAAAAACCTTCATTTAAGACTTTTAAGTCAGGAACCAAACCAGCCAGCAACAAGGTTAATCATATTCAAACTTCGATTTGATGCAAAATGTGCAAGACTGTACTCAACAACTTTAATGAGGAAAAGAACTATCCCATGAAGTTATTACTGACCGCAAACCTTTGAATGGTAGTGTGTATTGTTACAAAATATTTCTATTTTAAATAAATGTAAATAAAATAACAAAAAAATAAACAAAAAAGGTTCTCGATTTCCTGTGAGTGACTGAACTTAGATGTGATTTAGTCACTTTTTGCTGAGTGAAAATACCATGCTGAACATTTACACTTTCTGAAATTACAGCAGTTATTTAATAATTGAAAAAGACCTAGGGGAGAGAAGTGATTTCAGCAGTTTATTCCTGATTCCATATAATCTTGCTATCCTAAAGCAAAGTGGCCTATATCATGTACAATGACACAAAGAGGTCCGCAAGCAAATTAATAAAGACAACTATCGCTACACAACCAGAATAAAGACAGAACAATGTGACTGATGAAGAGTGAGGTGTACAATAAAGCCCAGACAGGTGGAGAAAACAGGTTATTTAGCTGAACGAATGAGCATGAGTCACATTAATCAATGTCTGAAGGAAACGTCTGCTCCAGATAAGTGTGGGGCTGTGTTCAGCAGAGAGACCAGATACTGGATTGAAGTCATTCTACGTGCTGGAGCTTTTCAATCACAGGCAACTACAAAATACATCACAAGCTGAGTGCGAGAGTCACACAAGAATATGTGTAAACATGATGTCAACTGAATCTATAATGGTACATAACACAATTTACATATTTTGAAGAAAATGTGAGCTTGTGCTACGTTGCTATGGTATTCTGGGTAGCTTTAGTGGTTTCTAGCACAGGGTGACAGGGTGTTTTGAGTGGTTGCCTACAGACCCAAGTCAAAAGAGCCCACCCACAAGTCCCTATGATATTCTGAGGAATTTATAGATTTTTTTAAAAATCCATTTTATAATCCATTATGTGAAAATAACAAGTGATTGCTTTCTAAAGCAATGGCACATGTCTCCTCGGTAAGCTGCATGATTTGAGGTATCATTCATGTCTGTAGCACAGTTCTGCACCGAAGTTTAATACTTAGGCGTATGGGTTTGTTTAAACAGTAAGTATGGGCAATAGTAATATTGGTGCTTGATTTAACTACCACTGATTTCCATAAATGGTACATCAAAATAAAGTGCATGCACTCAGCATGAGGTATGTGCTGAGCTTTTTAAAGCAAAAGACAGTCTTGTTGTCATAGATAATGCAAATATGGAATTATTTCTTCCTTTCAACCATAAATGCTTCTGTGCTTTGAAACTTCAATGTACATGTTTGTAGCGCAGGAACAGATTTTGTAAGGAGTGGGGAAAAAAACAGTACATTGCCTAGACCAGCATAGCAACACGAGATGATGTCACACCTTAAAAGCCCAATATTATGCTTTTAAATAAACCTTGCCATCTCTCATCCGATTACCACGGCAACAAAGTTATTCTTGGTGGTTTGCTGCATGTACTTTTTTATAGATTTAAACCACTCACTTATCGGTTGAAGAACTCTTGAACATCAGGGGCTGTAATTATGTTTAAGTGTGAAACTTAAGAAGCACTATGTAATTTTATTTTTCAAAATAATGTCAGAAAGGTTATTCTTACCATGGTGTACATTTTCAGATATAAACTTACAATTTTTACACACACACACACACACACACACACAAACACACACACGTGTGTCTCCCAGTACAGTCACAAGAGCATGGAGGAGATTCCTGAAGATGGAACGTTACACAAGGAAAGCTGGACAGGGTCGTAGAAGGGCAACAACCCAGAAGCAGAACTGTATCTGGTCCTTTGTTTAAAGAGGAACGGGGGAGCACCGCGAGAGCCCAATAAAATTACCTCAAGCAGGCTACTGGTGTGCATGTTTCTGACCAAACTGTCAGACTCCAGGAGGGCCCGATGTCCTTTAGTGGGACCTGTGCTCACAGCCCAGCACCATGCAGCTCGACTGGCATTTGCCAGAGAACACCAGAATTAGCAGAGCTGCCATTGGCACCCCATTCTCTTCATGGATGAGAACAGATTCACACTGAGCACGTGACAGACATGAAGGAGTCTGGAGATGCCGTGGAGAACGTTAAGCTGCCTGTAACATCATCCAGCATGACCGATTTGGCAGTGGGTCAGTGATGGTCTGGGGAGGAATACCATTGGTGGGTCGCACATACACTGTAAAAAAATTCCGTTAAATTTACGGTAAAAAAACGGCAGCTGTGGTTTGCAAGAGGACAACAGAAAACAGTCCGTTTATCAGTTAAAGTCAGTTCAATGTTGATTCAGTGATGTTACCGTCCAGCTCAGTTCAGGTCTCTTCCAATAACATTACACAGTGCATATAAGTAAACATTTTAAGCTTGAATATTTTGTTCACCATGATCCAAGAGCAGTGTATGTACAGTATGTGTGTGTGTGTATATATACAGTGGTGGATAAAGTACTAAATAAAATAGTACTAAATAAAAAATAAACATTTAGTATGATCCCTTTTATTTTGGTCAAATAATTAACATTTTGCAGATACTGCAAAGTGTATGTAAAATTTTGACCACAACTGAATACATGGGTAGTGGATAATAGGAAAGATCCAGAAGCCGATATTTACCAGAAGTGCTCTAATGTAGAAACTCATTGCTTATTTGGGAAGAGAACGTCTAGGTTACTTGTGTAACCCTCGTTCCCTGAAGGAGGGAACGGAGATGTTACATCAGTGACTGACGAATTGGGATCTCGCCCGAGAGCCCAATCACCTTCGAGTGTTAACTAAACAAGCCAATGACAGTTGGCGTGCGTGTTTCGCCACGCGCACCCCGCCCCGCAGCGCAACATTTTGCAGATACTGCAAAGTGTATGTAAAATTTTGACCACAACTGAATACATGGGTAGTGGATAATAGGAAAGATCCAGAAGCCGATATTTACCAGAAGTGCTCTAATGTAGAAACTCATTACTTATTTGGGAAGAGAACACACACACACACAAACACACACACACGTATGTATGTATTAATAACAGAATTGTCAGCTACAGTAAAGAAGGACCTTGGTTTCAGTTGTTGAGAATATCTTCAGCACTCAGGGGATCTATTACAAACTCTATACGACCATCAGACACAAACTGTGCTAATCAATGTAAAACAAATTATTTCCCCTTAATCCTCACCAGCATCTACACAGTATTGAATTTCTCAACAATGGCACTGATAATTTTCCACCGATGGCCTCTGCTGCTATAATGTGTGATTCACAGCTCATAAAGTGTAGGTCTCAGCAAGACTTGCCCGCTATAGATCAATATCAATCAGATTTGTTCCCCATGTGCGAAGAGAACAGATCCTTGAGGAAAGCTTTACTGAATTTGGGAGATTAGAAAGTAATGCGATCAAGAAAATCATACACTCCATTAAGAAGAATTAAAGTATAGCAAGTGCTAAAAGGGACCAATTACACCATCTATCAGAGAATATGGTGTAATAAATCAGTCTGCACATGTGGATATACCTCTGTTGCAGGTGGATGTTTTGGTAATTACTAAACGACTGAATGCTTACAGCCTTTCACTAAGCAACTGCTACTCAGCTCAATTGTATAATGAGTGGACACAAATACATTGGTATTATTACTATGTACTCGTTTACTCACTGTCATGTTATCCCAAACCCATATGTTTTTTCTTCCCTAGAGCACAAACTGAGAAATTTAGAAGAATCTTCACTGCGATCTTTCACATTCAATAAACTTAAATGAGAATGCTGTCAATCTCCAAATAGTGACAAAAGCACAATAAAACTACCATAAAAGAAGTCAATTTGACTTATTCTTGCATTGTCATATTTAGCATGTTGCATTTGGTTAAGAGGAACGTGCGAACATTATTACCTAATTATTACCATTATTACATAATTTTCCATTCACTTTCAGTGGAAAAGTGCAGCAACAACATTCTTAAAATATCAGCTTTTGTGTTACAGCTGAGATAATGGGTAACATTATAGGGTCCAATTCTCACTATTAACTAGTTGCTTATTAGCATGCCGATTATTAACATATTGGCTGTTTATTAGTACTTATAAAGCACATATTCTGCATGACCATATTCTACATCCCTAATCCTACCAAATACCTAACAACTACCATACTAACTATTAATAAGCAGCAGATTAGGAGTTTATTGAGGCAAAAGTCGTGGTTAATGGTTTGTTAATAGTGAGAATTGGACCTTAAAATAAAGTGTGACCAGAAAATTATATATTAGGGGTTTTGGGCAACATAAGTTATAAGAAGACATAAGCATTTACAACCGAACAAGCATGTCATGTTTGCCTGTTTTGTAACAGCAGAATTATTTAGTTGACTTGAGCTGTTTCACTAAAAACTGACCTCTTTGGATAGGCGTGTGAAAAGATCTCCCCCTCTGAGAAAGTCCAATATTAGGTACAGCTTTCCTTCTGTCTGAAAGGCTGAGGGGGAAACAAAAAAGGTGACATTTAAGCAGTATTTTTTACGAAGCACAAGGCAAAAAACCTGTAAAAACCTGAAATTGTAGTTTGCGAAGTTACAAGCCACCCATAATTTAAATGTTACATTCAAGCTAGTGGTCGACCAATATATTGGCCGATATTTGGCATTTTTCAAATATCGGCATTGGCTGATAAGTTTTTCTGTTGGCTACAGTGTTTACTTCCTTTTTAATTATATTTTGATTAAATATTTGTTTATTTGTGAAAAATACTTAGTCATTTAAAGTATAAGTATGTTTATTTTACACATTTATTATTTTAATCCATTTTCAAATGATTTCAAATTGCTTAAATATTAAATAAAATAAAATTATATCGGCTTTATCGGCCACCCTGCTTTCCATATCGGCATTGGCTGTCAAAAAAACAATATCGGTCGACCACTAATTCATGCTACTGCCTATCTTTTTTAAAAATGAATAATTATCAGATAATATAAATTACTTTTACAATCAGATCAGACATAATCAAACTTGAACAGAAAAGATTACATAAAAGCTCATTACTGTAAAGGCTACAGCGCTATGAAAACAGCTGAGCTACTGTCATACAACTGTAGAATGTAGTTTAGTTAGTAGTATTTCTACATGTAGTTAGTCACTCCACAACACTGTCTGTTTGTCACTTCAGTAGAGCACGGGGGTACAGAAACTGATGTTCTTGTCTAAATGCTCTTGTTCTGTTGTTTATAGTCTCCCCTTGAGAAAACAACTCACCATAGTGGAGTTTGACAATGAAGGGATGATTCACTTCTGCGAGAATGTCTCGCTCCATTTTCGATCTCACTCTGTCCCGCACTTAAAATACAAAGAGACAATATGTAGAGACTCATTATTTATGATTACAAATAAAATGATGATTAAATAATTAAAAAGAACTCATTCACTGTAAAACAATTAATCATATTCTCTGCGTTAACATGAATTATCTTCAACCTGCTGAAATGTTCTTATGAATATATTTCTCTTCCAAATAAACATTCTGTATAATAAATAAATATATTTCCCCACTAACCTGCCGAGGTCCAGCGCTTGTCTTCACATTTTTCTCTTACTGATCATATTTCATACCAGTTGAATTTAAAGTTTTAAATGAATTTGACTGATAAACACCCTTACGAAAAATAAACATGGTTTTACTATAGTAAAAGTGTAGCGACCATGTTTTTTTTTTGCAGTTTACTATTTGTATAATCAAATTTAAACACCATGGTTTGTGTAGCAAAACCCGGGTTTATTTGTGGTGTATTATGGTTTAACTACAACTAACTGTAGTTTAACTAAAACTCCAACAATTTTTGGGTTTTATTTGTACTATAACCATGGCTAATTTTCGTAAGAGCATTATTGCATGTGTGCGTTGGTGCTCTTATTCCAATGTTTAAAATGGTTGAATGAATGTGCGGTAACTGCCTTATAGAAATTGAACAATGTTAAACATTGAATTAATTTTTAACAGTAACGAGTTGACAGTGCGACTGCTTTGAATATTCATATTTTGGCATTGCATTCAGTGAAATGATTGTGAATGAAAAATGACACAGAATAGTGACATATTTACATATACATATTTTTAAACATATTTAATACAGATAAATAAAAGTTCATTCTGCTCTTATTCATTAGATCTCACATACACTGCAGCGTCACGATTACTAGTTTAGACCACGACACCCTGTGGTGAAACAATCATGTATGTTTACTAGCCATTGCTTTATCAGATCGGCTTATGTTGGATTAAAACTTCACGTTCCATTGAGTTTGGAAAATTCTGCACACAGTAATCATCAGAATATCTCTCCTCCTGTCTCTGAAAATGTCCGGATTTTGAAATCATCCCGCGGACTCTAATTTTAATAAGCATTTAAGTCAACAAGATGATTACGGAACATTGAAAATATACATAACCGGAAATAACTGAGTTGTATTATTTCAAAACGGAAGTGCGTCACGAGGCTCAGTGCAAGTAGTCCATATGCATGCATGACATCGCATCACAATTTTACACAACAACACGTTTTTGTAGTTATATGGCCTAACTGTATCATTTTCAAAAACTTTTCAAGTTTGCATTTTCAGGCCCCCAAAACCTGTTGTTGTGTAAATTAATACAGGCATATATTATATATAGGCCGAATATATAAACAGGGCGATAGCACACTACACATCTAACATAACTTCAAAAACAAACACAGATCTGAGGAAACTGAGGGCTTAAATACACAAGGTTGATCATCAACAGAACAGGAAACAGGTGCAAAACTAATTAGAAACTATAAATACCAACTCAGACAAAGACTGTGACAGAAAACCATGACTAGAGACAAAACAGAACAAGACAATGACTGACACTTATATTGATTTCTATCAAGCGATGACAATTGGGTAAACAGGTTTATAAGACTACACTCTAAAAAATGCTGGGTTGTTTCCAGCAGAATTTGATTATATTCTGGTTATTTATACACCCTAAAAAATGCTGGGATGTTTTAACCCAACTGTTGGGTTAAAAAGCTAATTTAAAAATGTAACCAAAATGTAACCCAACAGTTGGGTTAATCCATATTTGACCCAACATTGGGTTGAAACATCCCAGCATTTTTAGGGTGTATAAATAACCAGAATATAATCAAATTCTGTTCTTATTCTGTCTACGTATTGCTTTAAATGTTTGTGGAAAAACTAATAATTATTTGTCTCCCTGTAAGTTTACACATTTCATAGCTGCCTGTCATCTTTTATCTCCCACTTACTTAGTTTGGATATGCAGATGTCTAAATGAGTGTTACATTACAGTGATGACATGAAAACATAAAAAATTCTTATTAAGAAAAGATCAGATATGGATATTTAGACATAAGGACAGTAATTAGATATGCACCATGTGAACGAAAAATATCAGATCTCATGTTTTTTCGCTGTTTACACGCATGCAAGATGATCTGATCTGTGCCCGAATATGATTTATATTACTTGATGTTATTAGTTTAAAAAGTCAGTGTTTAGATGAATGACCTACTCTTAGTTGATTCTGTACATTTTAACATCCAAAAATGTACAGACTTCACCTTTAAGTCTGCAGGACTACAAATCTTTGACAAGTCTGGCATCAAAAGCATCATGTAAGATGCTTCATTCACACGAGTGTTGGCTTATGTAACAGCTGCAGCATTGCTGTGGTCTGACAGTGAGGTGCCACAGTCACCAACACTGTTATTTTCATTCACACGTACATGAAGGACTTGCACAACATCATCCGCCGAGAACAAAGACTTTGGGATGTAACCATGGTTACATCGAGTGAATAAGTTATGTGGGTTGTGAACAGGTTGTGAAATAAACTACCACTCCAAACTGAGCACTATGAATCACTATCATAACTGCTGTTTTGTTTAAATTTGTGTTTTTGTGTGTAAAAACAAATGCTTAAGACTTCGGGTTTATCTGCTTTGTTTGTTTATTAGATTAATTCATTGTCTTTGTTCCAGGGAAGCTGCTACGGATCTGCAGTGTGCAATAATGAAAAACTGTCACTCAGGAAAATTGCCTGGGTGTCTGAGTGGGACCGTTTCCCCATGCTAAACACGTTGATGATTCAGATACTCCTTAAAAATCAGCTAGTGAGCACTTCAGGCCTCCTAGCAGCTCAGTTATGAATCACGGGTTAGATGTCATGTTGTGGTGAAATAATAACTGCAGGTTTTACATCAGTGCATACTAGGGAAAGATTAACAAATGCAAAGCACACAAATTGTAGAGTACAATCATAATTCAGATCTCATATTTTAAGGGCTTAAAGATGAATGACCTACTCTTAGTTGATTCTGTACATTTTAACATCCAAAAATGTACAGACTTCACCTTTAAGTCTGCAGGACTACAAATCTTTGACAAGTCTGGCATCAAAAGCATCATGTAAGATGCTTCATTCACACGAGTGTTGGCTTATGTAACAGCTGCAGCATTGCTGTGGTCTGACAGTGAGGCGCCACAGTCACCAACACTGTTATTTTCATTCACACGTACATGAAGGACTTGCACAACATCATCCGCCGAGAGCAAAGACTTTGGGATGTAACCATGGTTACATCGAGTGAATAAGTTATGTGGGTTGTGAACAGGTTGTGAAATAAACTACCACTCCAAATTGAGCACTATGAATCACTATCATAACTGCTGTTTTGTTTAAATTTGTGTTTTTGTGTGTAAAAACAAATGCTTAAGACTTCGGGTTTATCTGCTTTGTTTGTTTATTAGATTAATTCATTGTCTTTGTTCCAGGGAAGCTGCTACGGATCTGCAGTGTGCAATAATGAAAAACTGTCACTCAGGAAAATTGCCTGGGTGTCTGAGTGGGACCGTTTCCCCATGCTAAACACGTTGATGATTCAGATACTCCTTAAAAATCAGCTAGTGAGCACTTCAGGCCTCCTAGCAGCTCAGTTATGAATCACGGGTTAGATGTCATGTTGTGGTGAAATAATAACTGCAGGTTTTACATCAGTGCATACTAGGGAAAGATTAACAAATGCAAAGCACACAAATTGTAGAGTACAATCATAATTCAGATCTCATATTTTAAGGGCTTAAGGGTCAGTTTTACCTTTTAGCGTTGCTTTCTTCAAGACCTTCATGGCATAGAGTTGTCCTGTATCTGAACCTCTGATTTTTCTCACCAAGAACACCTATAAAATGAAACGTAAGTTCAAAATCCCATAATATTCACACATCTTAGTAGGGCACGTGTCAAACTGTAGCTCCGACCAGCTCCAAACAAGTAATCCTCTAGTAATCTAGTAGACACTGATTAGCTGGTTTAGGTGTGTTTAACTAGGTTTGGAGCTAAGCTCTGCAGGACAGTGACCCTCCAAGAACTGAATTTGACACCCCTGTATTAGGGCCCATTTACACCTGGTCACTTCATGTATTTTTTTCTGATTGGATAGCTATCCTATCGTGAAAAGATTGGGTATAAATGCCCTCCGAAATGCTTTTGAGATGGATTTAAATCCAATCACTTAAACCACTTCAGGAGTTGATCTGAGACGCATTCCAGATGAAACCGGACAAGTTTAAGTGAATCTGCTTGTTGAAACCACATATGTAAATTTTTGCTCCTCCCAAAATGTAAAAAAATAAAAATAAGTGTGTGAACTTGTGCTATAGGCTATATGACATTATAGCCAGATATGACATGGCTAATGCAACACGCACCGATGCCGATGAGTAGCTGAGTATCTCTTCAGCGAACCGATGCGCAAACTGCCGCAAATGAAACTGAAAGTAAGTTCCAGATGCTAAACACACTTTCATCTTCGTTAAAAGAAAGCAGTAAGACTAAATTATTTTACCAGTGCTGATGTCGCTCTCTCCCTGTCTTTGATCTTGAGCTTAGCTGATGATAAATAAAATGCAGCTCATATTTTTTGCTTTCATTGTGAACTCGCGCAGGAATTGATTCGATTTGCAAAAACGCATTTATGTAAATGGAACCGTTTTTAACAAAACAAAGGGCCTGTTTACATCTGGACACTTCATGTGTTTTTACTGAATGGATAGTCATCTGATTTATTGGTTCCATTTACACTTGGCCACATAAATGTGTCTCCACAAAACCGATATAAATCTGATCTTCAATCCCTCATTATATGCAAATTTAATAAGAGTTCACGTCAGCCAAAGCAACAGATTGTATTCATCATCAGCTAATTTCAAGATGAGAGACCGCAACAGCCCTTATGCAAATTAACCATGGTTAATATTCGTAAGGGAGGAGAGAGAGTGGCATCAGCACTCGTAAGATAACTTGGTATCATTTGTGGCAGTTTGCTGAAGAGATACTCAGCTGCTCATCTGCAGCAAAGCCGTCTGGCTATAACATGTCATATAGCCTATAACACGCTCTCACACATAAGGGTCATAAGGGTCAATTTTTCTAAATTGAGATGTATATATCATATAAAAGCTGAATAAATAAGCTTTCCATTGATGTGTGGTTTGTTAGGATAGGACAATATATGGCCGAGATACAACTATTTGAAAATCTGGAATTTGAGGGTGCAAAAAAAATATATACATATTGAGAAAATCGCCTTTAAAGTTGTTCAAATGAAGTTCTTAGGTTCCATTTACACTTGGCCACATAAATGTGTCTCCACAAAATTGATATAAATCTGATCTTCAATCCCTCATTATATGCAAATTTAATAAGAGTTCACGTCAGCCAAAGCAACAGATTGTATTCATCATCAGCTAATTTCAAGATCAGAGACCGCAACAGCCCTTATGCAAATTAACCATGGGTAATATTCGTAAGGGAGGAGAGAGAGTGGCATCAGCACTCGTAAGATAACTTGGTATCATTTGTGGCAGTTTGCTGAAGAGATACTCAGCTGCTCATCTGCAGCAAAGCCGTCTGGCTATAACATGTCATATAGCCTATAACACGCTCTCACACATAAGGGTCATAAGGGTCAATTTTTCTAAATTGAGATGTATATATCATATAAAAGCTGAATAAATAAGCTTTCCATTGATGTGTGGTTTGTTAGGATAGGACAATATATGGCCGAGATACAACTATTTGAAAATCTGGAATTTGAGGGTGCAAAAAAAATATATACATATTGAGAAAATCGCCTTTAAAGTTGTTCAAATGAAGTTCTTAATAATCTATATTACTAATCAAAAATTAAGTTTTAATATATTTACAGTAGGAAATTTACAAAATATCTTCATGGAACATGATCTTTACTTAATATCCTAATGATTTTTGGCATAAATCAAAATCAATAATTTTGACCCATACAATGTATTTTTGGCTATTGCTACAAATATACCCCAGCGATTTAAGACTGGTTTTGTGCTCCAGGGTCACATATGTGGTTTCAACAACCGAATACATTTACATTTGTCCAGTTTTGTCTGGAATGCGTCTCAGATCAACTCTTGAACTGGTTTAAGTGACTGGATTTAAATCTCAAAAGCATTTTGGAGGGTATTTACACCTGATCTTTTCACGATCAGAAACAGTAGCTACCAGATTAGAGAAAATGCATAAAGTGACCAGCTGTAAACAGGCCCTTAGTCAGTGTCCAGGGGCTCTCAAGCTCCAAAAAGTTGGAAAAACACCATAAAAGAAGTCAACATGTCCATAAGACATGAGAGTCCAAACAGCTGATAAAAACATCACAATAATCCACAAGTAATCCACAGCACTCCAGTCCATCAGTTCACATCTGGAGAAGACAAAAGCTGAAAAATACGAGTCTATAATCCATAGTAACGCTTCCTTCAGTGAAAAAGTGCATCTCCTGTTGTCTCTCACATTAAAATCCAGCCACATATTTGTTTAGAGCTGTTTAAACAGTGCTTGATCTGTGCAGATTTCTCTCCTGATTCAGACCAGAACACTTTTTCACTGGAGGAAGCGTTATTATGGATTATGGACTCATATTTGAGTTAAAAATGTCTTAATGCTGGATTTGTTTCAGCTTTTGTCTTCTCCAGATGTTAACTGATGGACTGGAGTGCTGTGGATTACTTGTGGATTATTGTGATGTTTTTATCAGCTGCTTGGACTCTCATTCTGATGGCACCCATTCACTGCAGAGCATCCATTGCTGAGACACTGATGCAAAGCATTTTCATTTTTTTGGATGAACTGATCCTTTAGTGACAGCTACCACTGAAGATGGCTGTCATGTGATACTTCTTTTTACTGTGCAACAATGCAGACTGTTTTTAAAAGGTATAAATACTAGTAATCCAGTCCAAACAGAGCCTTAGGGTGCTTTCCAGCTGGTGAGATCACTGACATAAATATGTATATCAAGTCGTCTTAAGCCATATGACAGCTTTTTCTGCTCTGAGCTACCTATGTAGTCAGCATTTAAAGGCATTAAGACTAAAATTTCAATGTCGTCTTCACACAAAGCTATCACATGGCGTCTGAAGACTTGGGTTGTATGACACTGATACTTTTTTGTAATTTTTGCAATTTTGAACATGCCTGACATCTTTTGTGTTTCAAAGGAAAAAGGCAGGAGTTAAAGTGGAGTAATTAAACCACCTACACAAGCAGCTGAGGCAACATCCTAACTGACATGGAACATGAGTGATTAAATTGAATTATTCTAAATAGGAAGTAATTCATACAAATAGCACAGAAGACTCAATTCACAGTCGATTTCAGTGGAATTTGGCATGTTAGCATGTTGCTAAGCTAACAATGCAGTACTCTATTAAACGAAATACACAGCACACATAAGCACAGTGCAAAAGACTAACACTTTTTTGAAAGTGTTGAAATGTTCAAAATTGAGTGAATTCTAATTATATTTATAATCAGCAGTTCTCTTGCTTTGTCTTTTTTATTAAGATAAATCTAGCGTAGCGTCAGTTCTGGCAGGTCACGTTAGTCAAGATCGCATCAGCTGACTCTCAGCTGATCCCCATCAACCTATGGGAATACGACACCTATCTAAGTATTCATATATAAGGTCCCGCAGTATTATCAGCAGTTTTCGCATTGCTCAATAGCTAATTACCCTCCTCCATCCCCAACTCCTCCTCTGTCAGTCAGGATTTAGCCTTCTGATTCTCCTTGAATCAGACTAATTCTAAAATGTGTACATAACATTATTGAACTTTAACGATATCTGCAATAGCTGGTTTAGGTGTGTTTAATTAGGTTTGGAGCTAAGCTCTGCAGGACAGTGACCCTCCAAGAACTGAATTTGACACCCTGTATTAGGGCCTGTTTACACCTGGTCACTTCATGTATTTTTTCTGGTTCTGTTCTGTTTACCCTGGGGTGGGGGGGTTATCGCTGCTCTCCCTGCTCTCATCCATGCTAGGCTGCATGGATGTGCAGGGAGTTCGTGCCCAGAATGGAACCATACCGCCAATCCAAACTGTATGCTAATTGTCAATCATCTTTGACGATAGTGGTCCTGACAGAATTGCATTGCATTCTGGGATTGATTTCTCTGCTGAAAATAAATGTGATGATAGCTTAATTTCTCCAAAGGTATCACTGATTATGCAGCTACCTTTACTAAACGGCCTTTGTGTTGATCTTACTAGGTTGAAAACTTGCTTGGTTTTATTTTTGTTTCGTTTTGAGACACAGGATACTCAGTTAAAATTATGTAATTTAAATCCTGCAACAACTGATCCTGACTTTCTAAAGTTCAACTGAAGGGTTTATAAGGACACCAAAAATGTTTTTACATACATTAACTCCACATGCATTAACAAAATTACATCCAAACAAATGGCAAATCTAATTTTAGCTATCGATGACTCTGCATTACAGTAGCACACAGAGAGTAAGTCAAATGCAGCATTTTCAAAGCTCACCTTTCCGTAGGAGCCCTGACCCAACACCTTGAGCAGCTCGAACTGTGACGGGTCAGCTTTCTCAAAGCCCTCTTTCACATGATGGCTGATATCAAACTCCTTTAAGATGCTGTCATCCTGCAAAGGCAACAGATGGCACGGCTCAGAGGGAAATAAACAAATGCTTCTGCCATAAAGCTGTGTGTTTAAGCATATTTGGCGAAATGATGCCATCTGGCATTATGAATAACAGTAGTAAACAGGTCAAGGAAAAGGGTTCAGATGGTGTGATCATGAGTGTATGTATTCCATTGCCATTTTCATAGGTGCTTTTTTACAAAGCACATGACAAACACAAAAGTGTGCAATATACAAATAACAATAAGAATCACAGGTACTTTGAAATTACTTAAAAGTATGGAACCTGCAGAAAGCTCCACAGATTTCAGCAGAATTAGAAAACCTGTCATTTACAATGATTAACTCTACACAAAATGTAGAGCACAGTGACATACACTGGTAAAGATGCAGACTTTAAGTAAACAGACTGCAGTTGCATAGAAGTTGTTCTTCACTCTCATAGTCTTAGATTTGATGACATGATATCACTTTCCCGAAGGGCAGAACAGTTTATGGTCAGGGGAATTAGGATCTTGAATACTGGATTGGGCTGCGGATGATGTGGATCAGTTAATGGCAGATCTTATCCTGTGATCCTAGGCATTTGACACTTTTGAGAAATAGCAATTTTTAAAGTTCTCCGTTTTCTAAATGTATTTTATAGATTTTATTGTGAATGATCCAATGTATTTGTTTTTGTGACCTCTTAATCTTTTTTTATTAAAATGTCAAGCTTGCATTATTCTGCCCACATCTCAAAATCCAACCAACAATCGATTCATGTAAACTAGTCCCAGCCCTACATTTTTTTCTTTTCCAATAGCTCGTTCTCTCGGATGTATGCCTATTCAGACTTTTCCTCAAACTTGACACGGAAAATGAAGCAAAAGTCTGCAGATTTTGTCTGGGCTTGGTGAAATTGTATAGAGTATAATGGCATTACGGATATTCTGTTCATAAACAACATAACCAAAATATCTGGATCATTTTGGAGAGAAAAACAAACATCTGAAACATTATAATAGAATTTAAACTATAAATCATGCATGGCATCTTTATACTACGTCAGTTAGAAATAGCTCCTTAAAGTAAGAACTGCAGGTTACCACGTTTACAGAGTACAAGCAGTGTTAAATATCATGTTTATATTCAGATTTATTTTTAGTATAAAAGTAATTAGCAGGTTGTGATTTATCCAGTGTGATTTACAGTATAATTATAGTGGCAGGCTACCTGGCACAATCTGAGGTTAGGCACACACACACACTGACAAACGCACACACACACGTACTGTTCACAATCGAAATTATCATTAAAATGTATTTTATTTAAATAAATGTTGAGGAGCTCATGCTGTAGATTAAACTGTCTCAGTTCTCCTTGGAAATTGAACATGTATTACATCAGTAAGAACACTTACAGTACATTTTCTCCAAGTTAAATTAATAAAAATGTTTGTAATTTTAACAGTAAAAAAAAAAGAAATTCCTTTAGTCTGTACGGTGAAAAACTGTAAGGAACATTTCATGTCATTTTACAGTAAAACACTCTTAAAAGAAAATAACAAGCCACGTTTGATGTTTCTTTTTATTGAAATAACTTTTTTTTAAAAAAATTCATATTATTTATATACATTAAGGTTTTGTTACATCTTGTTTAATGAATGTTCATTACATTATTTTAGTGTCATGAGTGTTACCATGATAGTGTTTTTTATGTATGGCATTGTTGCACCGTTTAAATATTATTTACCTCAACTTGTTTTTTTCTGTGTTTTTAAAGTGGTTGTCAAAAAAAATAAAATAAAAAAGAGTAATTTGGTGGTATATTAATATTATTTCAGTTTATGAAATATATGTTTTTACTGTAAATTTAAGATCAATCTGTAAAATTTTAAATGTTGCTACTATTTTTTTTATGGTAAAGTTCTGGCAACCACAGTTGCTGTTTTCACGTAAATTAAATATCTATTAAATTTTCACCACTTCATGGGCACATTTTATTGAAAATCACAGAAATCTCCAAATGATTTCTATGTTCTGTAGCACTTGTCTGAGTAAGTAACAGTAACCAAGGAGCTTAGCGAAGGGTCAGCTGTGTTCCAAATGCAGTCATCTCCCAATAACAGCCTACTCTCTCTCTCTTGGGCTCTGCCAGGTGAGGGTGGGTGCCTGCAGAGGGGACAGTATGGACTGTCTCACTGCAGAAATGTTCCTGAGCTCAAACGCTGAGCACAGCTGAATGATGCACCGTGCTGGGACTGACACAGCTCAGAGACACAGCTTAAACAGGCTTATGGCATGCCATGCAAACGAATAAATAAATGTGCAGCTGCATTACATAACCAAAGTCCAGGCTGGGCCTCTCCTGTGACGTGATGATGAGTAAACTGAGGATATACAATCTTCTACCTCAGCACTGGGGCCTGATTAACTATTCTGACAGCTCCTGTTGAGCAACGCACATAAAAGCCAAGCTAAGCAAAAGAGCTCATTGTGATCATCAGCAGAATATGATGATGAATTATAAACTCTTGTTTGGTGATAATTCACCTTTAGATCATGGGGATGGTAATGACAGAGGAGAAAATGGGGATAGCTGTCACATGGGGAAGTTCACATTCAAGATTTTAGAGTTGTGAATTTTTAATTCTGTTCTACAAACCAAAACTCCAATACAGTGGTCGAAAGAGTACTGAAAAAAATATACAAGTAAAAGTACCATTACCTTCCAAAAAATGTAGTGCGAGTAGAGTAAAAGTACTTGTCTAAAAAACTACTTGAGTAAGAGTAAAAGAGTAGCCTATTTAAAAGTACTCATCCACAACTGAATGGAACAAAAAGTGTTGAACTTGAAAATTATTTATGCGTGAGTGCACTTGCTAAATGAAGGTGGATTGTATAAAATGGATTTGAAAAAAAACGTTTATTAACCAGCTGCAGTTTTATTACATCACCTGCTGGCACAGATGCAGTATATTAATGCCATCAATAAGGTGCAGATTGGCCCTCAATTTGTTTCCAACACACTTTTTCACTGTGCGCATCACATGCTCAAAGTTCAACAAAGACTTATCCAAGTGACTGCTGCAGAACGCACGCGAGACAGAGACGAGGCAGCGCAGATCGACCGTCTCATAAGTGAGTGAGAATTTACCGAACGTGGCACTTGCGGGAGTTAACACTGTATGCAATACCCCGCAACCTCACACAAAATGTCAGGCCATGTAGATAGGCAAGCATATATACAAATCGTTTAGTAAGCAGAAATCGTTCAACAAAGACTTATCCAAGTGACTGCTGCAGAACGCACGCGAGACAAAGACGAGGCAGCGCAGATCGAGCGTCTCATAAGTGAGTGAGAATTTACCGAACGTGGCACTTGCGGGAGTTAACACTGTATGCAATACCCCGCAACCTCACACAAAATGTCAGGCCATGTAGATAGGCAAGCATATATACAAATCGTTTAGTAAGCAGAAATCCAAAATGTACCTTAACATATCAAGTTAGAGGAAGATGCGACAGAATTGATGCTTGAAGAATGCACTTCCAGCAGCCATGATAAACAGTTGGCGGTTAAAGTTTTCTATGCACAATTTGATTTGACGAAAGTCACGAGACCTATTACTATCTCTCTATCCAATCATGATGATGGATAAAAAATTTAATTAAAATAAGCATGTAACGACCACAAACAGAGGAAAATAGCGGAGTAAAAGTACCGATACATCACTTAAAATGTACTCAAGTAAAAGTAAAAGTACACAATTTTTAAACTACTCAAAAAAGTACAATTACTGATAAAAACAACTTAATTACTGTAACGTGAGAATTTGTAATTCGTTACTTCCCACCCCTGCTCCAATATCATATCTTTAAATAGCTCTTGTGAACACAATAAAACCACACTGACCAACATTCAGACAAGATAGAGCTGGGTATCGTAAAAAAAATTCCGATATCGATACCGATACCGATACCTTGACACTGGTTCCTGAATGATATTTTTCCGATACCGATTTTATGAAATCAATTTTAACAAGATTACATTATCTAAAAAAAAAAAAAATTTGTTTTTATTTTTCAGCTTTTTGATGTTTATACAAACTCAAAGACTCCCGAGCCACTGCACAAAGGAACAAAATGTAACCAACACAATAAATCACTGCAAATAGTTTTAATAAAGCTCAAATAGTCTTCAGTTTACACATCTGCTACATTTACACTAGTGCGTGTTCATTTTAAAAAAACATACTGTAGCTCAGACAGAATCATGATTTCTATTTATTTTCCACTGATTTACTGATGAGCATTAGCAGCTTCCAGCGCTGTCTGTCTGTGTTCTCTCTTCCATGATTGCTGCTCTGACTCTGCCAACATTACATGGCCAAAACACACATTAGACGGCAATCGGAAGTTATTACAAACACTCGATGGTGAAATTGAGTTTTGAGTAAAAGCGGAATATAAATCTTATTTATTGTCTTTTTTATCATGATCCTACAGTTTGCATGAATGCTCACGTAACACGCGCTTTCAGTCGTGTAGTATGAACGGACATCTGCATATGATCGGAACTCCACGCAGCTCCCGTACTAACGTTACTCTCCATTGGAAATGAATGACTGAATGACCGGTCTGTCGCTTGTCGTTTGTCGGAGGTATGACGAGGAACGTTTTCATTTTAGAACATAAACGCACCAGTGTAAATGTAGCCTTACATCTAAGGGGGCTGGGACGCATTCAAACTACAGCCTCATGTGTGCGCCACATCTCTGAGTGTAACCGGTGTAAACTAGTAGGTGTGTTCGACTTGACGCGGACTAACTGTGCAGACCTATCTGTGTTTTACAGTACCACGAGAGCTAAAGAGAGCAGACTGTTCCCGTGCGATTTCACGATCTGCGATTTCGAATCGCTCTCGCGGATGTCAAACACTGATCGATCTACGCCGCACCTCTTCTAGTCGAACACTTTTGCTAGTGCTGCAGGCTTATTGGCTCACTGACGCTGATG